AAATGAAATCTAGGGAGTACTTGTAATGCAAGATGGGTTTAAATGAGGGAGGATACACCTGTGGAATTAGGAACCCAGTCACAATAACAGTGAACAAGAGCAACAGCTTAAAAGATTAACGTAAAGTTCTCATGTGTCTCAGCCACAGCAGATTAACAAACACATCTCAAAGAAACACTCCAACCCACCAAGCCCAGAGGATGTAATGGGAAGCTACTGAACCTACTACAGGGTCAGTTTTCTTTTAGACACTTACCTCAAGATACAGCCTGTTTAACCTCCAGGTGGAAGCAAAATTTGGACCAGTGAGGGCCCAGTGCACTCCTTCCCTGCAAGCTGCTCACTTTTATCAGGCTCTGCCTGACACAGGGTGCCCAGAGAAGCTGTGGCTGCCCCATCCCTGGCAGTGTTCAAGGCCAGGTTGGAGTGGGCTTGGAGCAACCTGCTCTAGTGGAAGGTGTCCCTGCCCATGGCAGGGGGTTGGAACTGGGTGAGCTTTAAGGTCCCTTCAAACCCAAACCATTCCATGATTCTATGGAACTTTTGCTTCCTGGCTTTTGGAAACAGCTCTAAACAGCCAACCAGTCTCCAATTCCCCTCAAGGGACAAGAAGCAGCACATAAAGGACCTGCCTGTGAACATCAGACCTACTCGTCTTGTAACAAGATTTATTCTCTAGAAACTGAGACATTTTTAAGCTGTGGTCCAACCAACAGGGACAATGGTGGATGACTCATTCTGCAGACAAAATGATACATACAAAAGGTCTGCATGCCCCTGACCACACCACCACACTGAACAGTTTATATCCTTCATGCCTCAATTCAAACATCACTCAATAGTTTTAATCAGAGAATAAAATACACTTTCTTGTGCTTTACTCCAGAGTCCTTTCTTCCAGCTTTTGATTTCAAAATCCACGGAGAATCTCTTTTCCAGTCTTACCTTCCTCAAAGTTCATTCTACATGAAGAATTTTCCCTGTAGGGACACAGACTTTGCAGCCTGCAAAGGGAAGGCTCATTTATGTGGGAGAGCAGCCCAGAAACACTTCCCTAACATTCCGGATCCAAACCCTTCATGTGAAAAAATAAAATCCCCAGAATATCTCTTTAGAAGGAAGATTTTAAAAGCAACCACATTTTCCATGAAGTCTGTTCCTGTCTCATGCTGTATTTTAACATGCCTTTGGTTTCAGCAGCACATTAAGAGTCCAGTTTCTGGTACTATGTGGAAAGCAAAGCACCGGTGCACCCAACTGCTGCTGCAGGACCGGGAAACCAGGAACAGAAACAAACACAGCTTATACTTAACAATACGCCCCAGAGAGCAAAGAAAGAAGTTGTAATCACAGGGGAAAGTAATAACTGACCAGCCACTTATTCTATGTATCTTCCTTCATGCATCCCAACCCTCAATCCTGTTGCTAGCAACAGCAAAACTACCTCACTGCAAAGCAAATAGCTCCTGCTCAGCCCCACAGCTGAGGAAGCTTTAACAGCACTTTGCAACCGCCATAGCTTTTAAGAAATACTACACAATAAAAGGCTTTAACTCTTTCTCCCTCCAGTCCCATGAAGCTACTGATCACCTTACAGGCAAACAACTAATGGGGCTCGGTATTCTTCCTAGTGGATAAATGAGGAGTAATAGCTTCGAAACAGTCTCTTCACATTCACCAACTTGACTCTCTACGTCCCGAACTAAAAACGTAAGATTCACTCAACTATCCCACCAAGTTCACCTCCTCAATTTATTTCAGGAATGATCATTATTTCTCAGTTGCTCTTTAATTTTTATGATACATATTTCAAATCACGTGAAGGAGCCTGAATAAGTGCCACATGACTCCTGCCAAGAGAAAATGATCAGTCAGAGATTACACAACATGCAGAATGGAAATACTCCTTCCCCAGTAAACAGAGACGTTCACATACACTCTCTTAACAGCCTTTTTCTTTTTGCAAGAAAAGCCATTAAGCAAAAACCCAAACAACTGACATGCAGGACTGTTTTCACCCCAAGCAAGTACATGAATTACTGGGCCCCAACACTTACTGTCGTAAGAAAGCAAGCACAGTAAAGCAAGGAAATATCCACACAGGGAAAGCCACCAGAGCTGTTACAGAAAAGGTTTCCCCTCTGCACCCACCTCAGCTTTAGTTAAACCACGAGCTACTGCTAATAAATCAGCAGAAGAAAGCCTGCAGATCACCCTCCTGGTAGTTCAGTGCACACAGAACACTAGAGCCTGAGAGCATCCCTCTGTATCATCTACATACAGGCAGAATTAAAGTGTGTGTGTATATATATATATATACACACACATAAAAGTGAGCAGACACCAGGCACAGTGTAGAGCCCAAAGCCAAGTTTACTCAGCCAGACACATTTATACCATCCAAGAATACACAACTCCTGCCTTGGCTCCTCCAGGAGGCAAGATCTGTTAAGGGAAGAGAGAACAAAAGCAACCTTTGTCTTCCTATTCACAGGCCTTCACATGGGCCTGTTCTGTACTTGGGCTTTAACATGAAACCAACTCAGGACATTTATTTAAGTGACTCCATGAGTGAGGAAAAGAAAATCAATTTAGAGGTTGAAGCAGCTTCTAAGTTTCTTCTTCCCCATCCACTTCTTTTTTATATCCAATGCCTATTTCAGATCTTTTCCTACATCTCTGCCCTCCCATCTTGTCGCACAGCATTAATGTCTTCTTCAGCACTGAGGGTTTTCTCCCCCCCCAAACGATAGGCACAAGCTTATAGCCTGAATTACAGAGCTCCATTTTTAGATGCCTGGCTGCTTCCACTTCCATCAAGTTTCAAACATACTCAGGATACAGTGTATAAAAGCTAAAAAATCCCTGTTCTTATTAGGAAGTTTAAGTGCCATGTTAAAGAAACACAGTAAGAATTTTGCCACCTATGAAGGCAGCTTACCCTCAGATGCCAAAACTGAACAGAGCCCACAGATGTCTGAGGGTGCACTAATAACATATTGGGCCCATTCTGGAGTACTTACTAAAAGAAAGCTCAGTCTAGCATGTGTTCTGCTGGGGCAGCATCACCACTTCTTTGGGAAGTGCTAAGTATGCCCAGGGCTCTCACAGGACAGTCCCAAGCACTGTTAATCCAAGCCTGGATGGAAAACCCAGAGAGGACTCTGAGGGAATGGCACACTAGAAGCTGTTAATGTTATTACAAAGGGAGTAAAAGCTCCGGAACTGCAACAGGATTCTCACAGACAAAGCTTTAGTGTCAGAGTCTACAAAGGTCAGTACAAGCGTGAGGGCCACACCACGCAGCATCTCAGTGTGTGAAAACACACATTTTATCAACTGGCCTTAACGCACAAGCCCAAACCATTTCAAAGGGTTGGACTGGAGGATCTCCAGAGGTCCCTTCCAACCCTAAGGATTCTGTGAGCAGCACAAAACACTTGGAAACACAGTTCAAAGCAATCCCAAAAGGACTAAATATCCCAAACAAATGCCTCAGAACCGGAGTTTGATGTCTGCTCCCTATGGACATTGCCGTGTACAAACACCAGCTCTAATACACTCATGTTTGTGTTCCTGAATACACTTGTGAGTGAGCTTTGCACCTGTCCTTGTGCAGGACTACATTAAACACATTTTCACCTAAACACCACAAAAGAGCAGGCAAACGGCACAGTCTGCTCCCAACTTTGGGCTCAGGAGCTCCTATTTTTAATCCCTGAGCCATCCCTCGCTTCCTGCACGGCCCTGGGTCAATCTCTCCAGCTGTCTCAGCCTGCCCTCCCACCCCATCAGTACACACCGCACCGCCTCCACCTTGCGCAAGGTTTAAATGGTTCATGTTCAGAGAGCGCTTTGGCCACCTCGCCCGCCTGCGCAAGAGCTCGGCATCAGCTGTAAGACACAGAGGAGGCTCGGGAGGCCGTGTTTACTTCTTGCTGAAGAGCGGCTTTACCCTACACGCTTCAACCCGAGCCACATCAAAACAACTCAGGGACGTCGGAGGGGAAATAAGTTAAATAAGAAGGGGAGAGAGGAAAGCAGGGCAGCCCTGCTGCCTGCTTCCCTTGGGAATGACTAACACCTTGGTAACTCAACATAAAGGCACAGAAGGTACGAACAGGCTGACCTGGGTCGGGCCGTACCTGCTGATAAGGAACAAACCCTACTCTTCAGAAGAAAAGGCCCAGGAGTGCCGATACGTGCTCCTACCTTTAACTCTTCCCTTTCAGAACGGCACACACAGCTCCGAGTCCACCGAGGTCACATCCCCATAGCACAGAGACCTTCCCCGCTCCCCATAACCGGGGCAGGAACCCCCAGAAGCGGGAGAGCGCTGTTCAGCCCAAAGGCCGAAGGAAAGGGGGGGGGGGGGGTGTCCCAGCCCACAAAGGCCCCAAGTTTTGGGCCTCTGAACCCCGGAGGAAGGGAAGGGGCAGTGGGGGACGGGATGCGGACAGGATGGGGGTGTCTCCACGTACTCTCCGTCTGAAGGATCTCCCGCCGCAGCCCTCCCGCGTACTGGATGAGCTCTTCCAGGCTGCGCTCGCAGAGCTGCCCGTAACCAGAGAACTTCTGCAGCACCTTCTCCAGCTCCCGCTCCACCGTCACGCACTGGTCCATAGCGGCCGGCACGGGGCCGCGCTTCTCCTCCACTTCCTCCTCCTCTTCTTCCTCCGCCGCCGCCACCGGGCCCCCCTCACCGCCCTCCGCCAGCACCGTCCCGCCGGCGCGGCCCAGCTCGGCCCGGCCCCGCTCCCAACTTCCCCGTCCACCCCAAGCGGCGGCAGTTGTGCGCAGGCAGCGCCGCGGACGGACGGGGACCTCAGCGCCGCTTCACTCAGGCAGCGCCTAGGCCACCTTCACCGGGGTTTTCGTCACAGCCGCGGTGGGCGGTGCTGCGGATAGGCTCAGCCTGCCGCGGAACCGGGGCCGGGCTACGGGTACCGATGCAGCGCGGAGAGGTCCCGGGAGGGGCGGGGTTGGGCTACGCTTTGTTTCGGTTAGGTGGCCCATGGAGCAGGCGGTGGGGAGAGGGAATCATTGAGCGGCAGCGGAGCAGGCAAGAAGGCAGGCAGCTAAGAGCGGGGTCCTGAGGGAGGGCGCTGTTGGCATGGCGACCTTAGGGTGTAGGGCCCTCGCTGAGGTAAACGGCGCGTCCATTGGGGACCAGGGGCAGAAGGAGAGGGGGGGTGTCACTGCCAGGGACGCGTTTCGCAAGTACATAGCGAAGAACAGCTATGTCTGCAGGAGCATGAAAGTGATCATCCCCTGAACTGAGCACTGGTGAGGCCGCACCTCGAATCCTGTGTTCAGCTCTGGGACCCTCACTACAAGAGAGACATTGAGGGGCTGGAGTGGGGCCAGAGAAGGGCACGGAGCTGGTGCAGGGCCTGGAGCACAAGTGTGATGGGGAACGGGTGAGGGACCTGGGGGGTTCAGTCTGGAGAAGAGAAGGCTCAGGGGGGACCTGATGGCTGCCTACGACTGCCTGACAGGAGGATGGAGCCAGGAGGGGCTGGGCTCTGCTCCCAAGGAACAAGGGATGGGACAAGAGGAACCGGCCTCAAGCTGCACCAGGGCAGGTTTAGATGGAGCTGAGGAACAATTCCTGCCCCAGAGGGTGCTCAGGCATTGGAACAGGCTGCCCAGGGCAGGGCTGCAGTCACTGTCCCTGTGAGTGTTCACACACCGTGGAGACGAGGCCTGAGTGTCATGGGTTAGTGGTGGCCTTGGCAGTGCTGGGATAGAATCATAGAACAGTTTGGGTTAGAAAAGACCTTAAGATCATCCAATTCCAACCCTCCTGCCATGGGCAGGGACACCTCACACTAGACCATGTCATCCAAGGCCTTGTCCAACCTGCCCTTGAACACTGCCAGGGATGGAGCATTCACAACCTCCTTGGGCAACCCATTCCAGTGCCTCACCACCCTAACAGGAAAGAACATCTTCCTTAGATCTAACCTGAACTTCCTCTGTTTAAGTTTGAACCCGTTACCCCTTGTCCTGTCACTACAGTCCCTAATGAAGAGTCCCTTCCCAGCATCCCTATAGGCCCCCTTCAGTTACTGGAAGGCTGCTATGAGGTCTCCATGCAGCCTTCTCTTCTTCAGGCTGAACAGCCCCAACTTTCTCAGCCTATCTTCATATGGGAGGTGCTCCAGCCCCTGATCATCCTCGTGGCCTCCTCTGGACTTGTTCCAACAGATCCATGTCCTTTTTATGTTGATGACACCAGAACTGCACACAATACTCCAAGTGAGGTCTCACGAGAGCATAAAGTTGGACTTGATGATCTTAAAGGTCTTTTCCAACCTAGCTGACTCTGTGAAGAGTCAGGGCTGCACTGAGAAACCTGGTGTGCCGGAAACAACATTCAGCCTGTCATTAAGTTGTTAATTTGGTCATTAAACTTCCTCCTGGGTTTTCTGTTGACTTACAGAGTGAAGTCATGCATCTGACACGTGTCTGGTAAAACTGCTCCAAAGAAGTGTCTCAGCTCGAGCACCACTTGTTTAACACACTCCAGTGTCAGTGCTGGAAACAACAGCACAAGCCACATACAACTCTTATGTTTTCTGTAGCATGGTACAACCAAAGCTTATAAACCTGGACAAAGCTGACTGGAAAAGTGATATTTGGTCGGCAGCTGGGACAATGTTTCTTCATCTTGCCCATAGAGGACAAGAAAATCCAGACATCTCTATTGTAAAAAGACAGGAGATGGTTACAAGTCACCTGTCTTCTTTCTGATTTAGACTCAAACTGCTGCTTTTGTTTGTGTTCTTGCTCTTTATGTTAACGTAGATGATGTTTAAAGATAGGCACAACCTTCTCATTTCTTAGGTCATTAGTACAGCGGTTTAACTGGTTACATTCTTTACCACTATTGGGCTTTTTGGTCATCTCAGCACATTCGAGCAAGGTATCACCTGTATTTACTTGAGGGGGGGGATCATTAAACACAGCCTCACTTCTCGAGGGGACAACAAATAGTTTGGCACTTTTAAAAGAAAATACCAACTGCCTAGGGGTTATAGTGCAAGCTTTAATTGATGTATTCTGCTCCTGTAGGTTGGCTTGGCCTCAACTGATGCACATTTCTGTGCTCTTTGACTACTGAATGCTCGCAGGGAAGGAAAATCGACACCAGAGAAGAGGGCGTGACTGTCAGGCAACACTGTAGATTCCATAAAGCCATGAGCAACCTGCTCTAGTGTCACAGCTGAGGCTGTGTCGAGCAGGAGACTGGAATTTATAGCCTCCTGAGATCCTGTCCAACCTGAACTACCAAGTGAGTCACTATTGGATCATCCAAGCAGCTGAGCTTCAGCTGAGGTGTCAAATATTGGTCGTTTTATTACACAGTAACACCTATCTATTAAATTGCTTCCATTTGGCCTCTTGTAGATAGTAGGAAGCATCTCCTGATTGAAAATTCTTTGGCGTACAACAAAACAGTATCTGGGCTGCTGCTCTCGCTTTGAGACTCTCAGGCAGGCTTGTTGGTTTCTTTAATATCAGATAATAACAAGTTTCTTTAATATCAGATAATGTCACTGTTTCATATCACACAAAAATGTGTTGAGATGCACCCTTAAGAAGTACATCAAGAGACACTATGATATAAACTATCAATCGCATTGGCTGGCTTGTAGGAAAACCAGGTTTCAGTTACTTTAATGTTGATATGTGGTACCATAAACTGTCCCAAAGGAAGGGTCTGATATTTTAACGTGGGAAGGGATTGAATTGAGATTTTCAGTCCTTAGTTTCACTGTTCAAAGTGACAGTACTTTTCTGAATGTTCCCCATAGGAGTCTGCGAAGTGGATTATTGTCCCAATTCAGAACTGCTTCTAGCAGAGAACAGGGGAGGAGGGGGAATCCTTGCCATTTATCAACAGGCAGCAGAACCTTCAGATTTGGCTGCTTGACAGGAGAAGATGCTGTTCCAGCCTCAGGATTTGATTTCATTCTCTCATAAATCTGAGTGCAAAATTCTTACTGCCAAAATTGTTTAAAAGCAAATCCCTGATTCAGGTTTTATTTCTTAAAGGTGGAATTTATGTGCTTCATTCTCTTCCCATTTGTAATACTTGCTCTACGAGCACAGGACTGATGACTGTTTAATGCTGTTCATTAGGCAGAGTTAACCCTGGGGTCTTTAAAGATGTCAGCGTGTGTCATCTCTGTCTTCAGTCCAAATGAATTGTAATTCATTGTTAAGATATCCTCATTTTCCAGAGAATTAAAACCCCCTGAATAATGGTTTGCAGGTGACATGTCAAGGATGTTCTGGGTTGCAGCTGGAAACCAACAAAGAACATACAACATTCTCTCGTAGGATCAGCTCAGTAAAACATGAATGTAAAGGTGGGAGGAAAGAGAGGGCCAGAGAGGAGCCAAATCAGTTTGGGTTCTCTCTGCCAAGCCTTTGGTAAGCTCCTCACCAGCAGCTCTTGGTCATATCCATCCCCTCTCTTCATTTGCAGCCCTGCCATTGTCCTGCCTTGTTCCCCAGGTGCTTCTGCCTTGGCAGCTGTTTTGCTTTGGGTTGTTCTGGCAGGTTTCAAGCCCTGGTTTGAAGCATCATTTTTACTTTCTGGGAACGACTGCAGGGGTTTGAGTTTTGGCAGCTGATTAACTCCATCTCTGCAGGGCACTCGTCATCAGTTACCACTGGGGAATGTGAGGAATTGGTTTAACTCAGCCCAGCAGCATTAGGAAGTGACATATTGGTGACAGCCTCCCCAGCAGCTGGTGTCACAAATAGTTTAGCTTTGAGCGTAGGCTCATGATTGTTCAGGGTGTTTCCTGCTGGAGGGAGCGAGGGCACCCCCAAAATTAGGCCAGATTGGATGGGGCTTGGAGCAGCCTGGTCTAGTGTGAGGTGTCCCTGCCCATGGCAGGGTGGTTGGAACTAAGTGATCTTAAGGTCCTTTCCAACCCAAACCATTCTGTGATTGTATGAAATGAGCTGCAGGGGAGAACCACAGGGCTTGGGGGCAAAGAGCTCTGCTGTGCTCATGAAAAACAAACCAACCAGCATAAAAAACCCCAACAATACATTTTCAAACCTAAGTTAAATACACAAAGTTCCTCTTCAAGTGCCCAACTCACATTTCTTCCACCCACCCATCACTTCACATACACTCGAGCTGCCACTTGAAATGAAAGGTAGGGAAATCTTGTATTTGTAACAAAAGAAATGGGCCTTCAAAAAGCTGCTGAAAAATAACTCTTAACTGTGTTGTTGGTGTGTGCTTTCAGGGCTGGGGCAGCCTGCCTCTGCCCTCACAACTGGTGGTGGTAACTGTGTGGTTTGTGGAAGTCCCTTGGCTCTGGCAGCTGCAGTAAGAAAACCACCTCTTGTGCTTTTGATGGGGAAACAGATCTATCTTATCAACACTTTGGGAGATGGGCCCTGGCCCTGCTGAACAGAGTTCACCAAACTGCAGCTATGTTGAAGGAGGGAGAAGCACTTCAGCTCCATACCAGAGGCACAGTCCAGTGCCTCTGGTATGTTCTGTTGCAGATGGACCCCGCACCCAAACACAGCTGAGCTGCTGAAATCCCTTTGCATTTAATCACAGGCTGGTTTACGTTGGAAGGGACCTTAAAGCTCATCCAGTTCTAACCCCTGCCACGGGCAGAGACACCTTCCACTAGAGCAGCTTGATCCAAGCCCCTGTGTCCAACCTGCCCTTGAACACTGCCAGGGATGGGGCAGCCACAGCTTCTCTGGGCACCCTGTGCCAGCGCCTCAGCACCCTCACAGGGAAGAGCTTCTGCCTAAGAGCTCAGCTCAGTCTCCCCTCTGGCAGGTTCAAGCCATTCCTTCCCCTTGGCCTGTCCCTACAGGCCCTTGTCCCAAGCCCCTCTCCAGGTTTCCTGCAGCCCCTTTAGGCACTGGAGCTGCTCTAAGGTCTCCCCTTCAGGAGCCTTCTCTTCTCCAGGCTGACCCAGCCCAGCTTTCTCAGCCTGGCTCCAGAGCAGAGCTGCTCCAGCCTTCACAGCATCTTCATGGACTCCCTGAACTAAGAGGTTCTTGTCCTTCTTATGCTGCTCCCCAATGAAGCTGCATCAGCAGAGACAGGGTTTGCAGCCCACCTCTCCTCTTTTCCATGTAAAATTCCAACGAACAGTGTTTTAGTTGACTCCCAGTGCGAGACACAGCATTTACCAGCCCATGAGGGCTCAGTTTGAGAGTAGCTACTTCTGCCATCCCTCCACTCTTCCCCTTTACTGAAGAAAAGTGCCACGATCTTTCTTCTCAAGGAGGCCATGGTGGCTGTGTGACCAAACAGGCTGAACCTGGGGTTGGTTTGGGCTTTTTTTCCCCTTTTAAATCAAACCAGCATGCTGGGAACCCTGTAAATGTGTTTTGGAGGCTCTGAGGAGTACAACCATTTAAATGCTTTCTGCAGGTCAGTATTAATGCACCTTTTTGCAATGCAATAGCACAGTGAGTTCAGTGTGTATACTCTGGGGGTTGTCAGTGTTGTTAGAATTAAGTTGTGCTATTTCTGTCCTCATCTGTATGAGCTGGCAATTTTCATGCAAATGATGGAGTCTTAAAATAACTAAACATACAAAAGAAGTGTTGAGTTTCCTTCCGAGGAGAGCCTGGGTCTCAAAGCAGCAGCTTGAATTTAGCATGGGGGTGTTTTTTTCAGCAGACTAAATTGTATCGTTGCAGCTGAGCACTTGTTGTGTAGCCTGGGATGATGGTTTGTGGATCCACTTAAAGGAGGAATGCACTAGGCTGGAAAAGACCTTTAAGATCATCAAGACCCATCAGATCAAGTCCATCTTGGCCCATTTGTGTGGCCCAAGAACAGAACCTGGCACGCTGCACTCCAAGTGCTTCCAGTGTGAGAAACAGGCCCAGTTTCACCAACAAGCTCTGAGTGCTCGAACACCAGTGGGAATCATAGAATCATAGAATGGTTTGGGTTGGAAAGGACATTAAGATCATCAAGTTCCAACCCTTCTGCCATGGGCAGGGACACCTCACACTAGACCATGTCACCCAAGGCCTCTGTCCAGTCTGGGCTTGAACACTGCCAGGGATGGAGCATTCACAGCTTCCTTGGGCAACCCATTCCACTGCCTCACCACCCTTAAAGAACTTCTTCCTTACATCCAGTCTAAACTTCCCCTGTTTAAGTTTGAACCCATTACCCCTTGTCCTATTGCTACAGTCCCTAATGAAGAGTCCCTCCCCAGCACCCCTTCAGTTACTGGAAGGCTGCTCTGAGGTCTCCACGCAGCCTTCCCTTCTCCAGGCTGAACAGCCCCAACTTTCTCAGCTTATCTTCATATGGGAGGTGCTCCAGTCCCCTGATCATCCTCGTGGCCTCCAACAGCTCCGTGTCCTTACGTTGCGGACACCACAACTGCCCACAGTGCGGCAAGTGGGATCTCACAAGAGCAGAGTAGAAGCTGCAGAATGCGGGTTTTAACCTGGGCAGATGACTTCACTTCATCCAGTGAAGAGCTGGGAGCGGGGCTGGTGTGTGTATGCGAGAAGTGGAGGGCTGAGCACCCCGAGTCCACATAAACCATGTACATTGAGCCGCATTCAAACTGACCGACCCAATGACCTCTCCACCGGAGGGATATCTACAGATAGCTATATATAGTACTATACATGTAAGACATATAAAATAGGTATATATTTATATAGATATAAAAACCTCCGGGTCCCAGCTTGATGCCCGGCGCGATCCAATCCGCGCCCGGTGCTGAATCACCGCGGGGCCACGGCACTACCGGGTCCCCGTACTCCCCCCGCTCCCTCCGTTCCCCGCCCTCCGCCGTCCCCGGCTGCTCACGTCACTTGTTATGTCTCCACCGGCGGCTCCGCCGGGGCGGGGACAGCGGCGGGAGGGAGGCGGGAGCCCCGCGGCCCCGACATTCCCCCCCCCCGCCCCTACACGCACCCCGGCCCCGCTCCGCTCGGCTCCGCTCGCCTCCGCTCCGCCCCGCCGCAGCCCGGCCTCCGGCTCGGCGGCCCCTCGGCGGGCAGCCCCGGCGGGAAGATGTGGGTGAAGCTGTGCTGTTTGCTGCTCTACTTCCTGGCGCTCTTCGTGCTGGCCAGGGTGTTCGAGGCCGTGGCGTGGTACGAGAGCGGGTTCCTGGCCACGCAGCTGGTGGACCCGGTGGCGTTGAGCTTCAGGAAGCTGCGGACTATCCTGGAGTGCCGAGGGTTGGGGCATTCCGGGCTGCCCGAGAAGAAGGATGTGCGGGAGCTGGTGGAGAAGTCAGGTAACGCCGTGACCCTTGGGATGGAGCCGGGCGCTGCGTGCCACGGTCGGACGGGGAATGCAGGGAGGGAGCCGGTTGGTGACACTGAGGACCCCAGCCGCTGGAGGGGTTCGGTGGAGGAAGGCAGAGGGGGGAAGCTCGGGCACTGTGGCGTTGGAAGCCCGAACGGGCTGCGAGGAGGGAAGGCCTCGGTGAGCAGGGTCATCGAGCAAGGGTTTCTTGCCGCTGGGTTCCGCCGGTCGGGGTCGGGGTGGTGGTGGCAGAGAGGAGGGCGAATGCCGTGTGCTGTGATAAGCAAGGAGGAAAGGATCCACATCTGTGCCGCTGTTTGCAGCCGGGGCCAGCTTGTTTCCCCCATGTATTCCCCTCCTGGAATCCCGTTAGCTGATTTTATTACAGGTCTTGCTGTCAAGATGGGTCTTGAGGAAGGCAGTGATTTTATAGCAGGAGGGATGGGTACCGAGGGATGTGGCGCTTTGATAGAAGAGGAGCAGAAGTACATCCTACGTACAGAAAATGGCTTGGAAAAAGGCAGGGAGGCATTTGGGAAGTAGGGAAAACAGGGTGAAGGAGGTGGACTTTCGGGGAATGATGAACAGCAAAGGGTGAAGAGCTCTGGCGATGGGAGGAACGGCGCAAGTATCCCGAGAGGCAGGGTGCGGGCCTGGGGTGGCCGGAGGGAGCTGCCCCAAGGCCTGGGAGATGGGGCTGATGTAATAGCTGTCGTGCCAGCCAAGCAGGAAGATACGAGTTACTGC